ACACACATGAAATGAGAAAAGTCGCTAAACGTCGATAATGTCGCGAGAAGAGACCAGATGCCATTCTGAACAACCAAACAATTTCCGTTATTTTTTGTGATCGTTAATGTTTTGAACATAGTTTTCTAATATTTCAATACACCAACCGACATACTCCTCCTTCCGATGTCACGACGGCATTTGCTTCCTGCGCAGTGGGGCAGAAAGCCATTATCAGCGGAGGAGGCACGCCATTGCAGTTACCACGGTAGACACTGGGACAAGAATTGTCGCATGCTATAATAAGACAAGTAGCCAAAACAGTAAGCTCGAAAAGATTCCTTCCTAGGAAACTCTTGCAAAAAGCTGTTAATTCGCTAAATTCTCGGAAGTAGCCTCTGGATTCCCTTGATGGCTTGAAGGCCATCGCAAAAGTAGCTATTGAGGGTTTCAAATTTCTTCACACATTTCTTTCTCATTTCTTCACACATTACGCGGTAATGATATTGTTTTTTTCTATTAATTTTGAGGTTTGCTATGATGGAATGGTTCTAAAAGCTCTTACTTGTAATCTAGACGGCCAGGAGAGTCGTCATTCTTGGCCAGTTGCGGACAATCTCAGAAGTTTGAAACGGATTAGCTATTCCAATAAACCGATCAACCTAGCTCCGCTCCAAAAAAGCTGTTACCTACTTGATGAGTGTCGTATAAATGAGACAGCAGCGGCTGAGATGACCTAGTACGTGACATGCCGCACGCAGGTGAAAAACGCTTATAGAGCCTCTGTAGCATTGATGTCATCTTCGTAAGCATGATTTTGCAAGTGACATCAAAATCATTGCCGCGATGTCCAAATAATCGGGGGCTTACCAAATGAGGTAAGCAGGTCCCTACACCTCTTACCACTGAGATGTCATTCGCTCGAGTAACTTGTTGTCGCCCTTCCTTGCGCAGGTACTACAGCCCCAAGCTATGAGACTGTCCCACTTTCGCAGCTTCAAAGCGAGTGAGGAGGGTGCTACAGCAACTGAGAGTTCCGGCTCTCGCACCAGGTTGGTAACGCAGTAGCTCTCAGTTGTTGTTTGTTGGGGCAGCGGCAACAAAACCGGAATCGCATTTTTGCCGACCTCGCTCGGACTCATGAGTAATTCTGCTCTCCTTTATTACATTTTCTTAGGAGCACAAGCAGTCAACAGCAAGGTATGACCACCGGAACTGTCAAGGCCTGAGGACGATATTCTGCTCTGGACAGCTGACGATGGGCAAGAAAATCCAATATAGTGAGTTTGACGGATCCGTACCAGGAGAACGAAACGCTTTTCAGACAAAGCGAGAGCACTTAAGCTCGCAGGAATCGCTGGTTGTGTTGGAAGGATTCTAAAGTTGCGCTCTACCACCGTTCCTACTCTTGAGCTAGCGCATCCTTTATCTTCAGTTCTCCCCAACATGGCTGTGAGCCGTGCTGGCCAGGGCACATCAGGGCACATCACCGTTGGGGATTCCCCAACAGAGGGGCAGGGTCGTGTCTAGTCGCTGGGAGAGGGGGTCGTAATTGGTCGGAGAACATTTTTTCCGATAGTTGATTTTTCTTGTTTCACGGACGTCATAAGGGGGTACTCTTCCGAGCCGTACTTGCTCGCAGTTGTAAGAGAGCGGGTCGTAGGATTGGAAAAATTTTTTCGCATCCTGTCTCGAATAAGCTGTGTACCCTTTCTCAGATTTGGCGAGAGTAGGAAAATTTTCCGCGGAAATCCGGAAAAACTAGAAAAGATGTGGGAAGTTGGGAAAATTGAAGAAAATGGTGGGTGGGATGGAGAAGGGAGTCGTCTTCCCCTAGAGGTTCTCCCCGCTCCACATGTGCTGTATATCCCCCTCCCCCTCGCTCGAGCCAAGGCACATCGTTGTTGGGAATCCCCAGCAGGGGGGGGGGTCGTATTTGGGCTGAGAAAAATTTATTTTGATAGTTGATTTTTCTCGCTTCACGGACGTTGTAAAAGGGGAGGGGGTCGTACCAACCCCCCAAAAAAATGGGGGGGTCGTACGGACTCGACTAAAATCCCCAATCCAATGATGTGCCCTGACTCGAGCTCGGTCCTAACTATGGAAGGCGGGGGGGAGTCATAACAAGCCACATCCCAGGAGTGGGGTCGTACGGACTCTGTCAGGATCTTCAACCAATGATGTGCCCTGGTGCTGACATTAAGGGCGTGACTGAGAAATGGATTTAGCTGCACCACATCATATTCTAAACAGGGTAGCACCTTGAAGAACAGGTGAACGCACGTTGAAGATCCCAAGGGCGATTTGATCGCCTTGCTTCTAATGCATCTTTTTCAAAAATAACAAATTACAGAGTCGAAACGTTGAGGAGTTTACAGTAAACCCTATTTTTTTGATGGCGTGGGTGAGACAAGTTGATTCAAATTCCGATGATTTTACAAGTTTTTGACGTTGCCGTAATGATCGACCATATTGAAAGCGGCCATGACCGAACAGGATTTTACTGAAAAAAGACGACACAAACAAACACAACTTACTTGGCTCAGTACCAGCTGTTCTTGTGGTTGTTGGTGTTACACTAGCAGCAGTAGTAGTCGTTTCTTCCGAAGCGGCCATGGCCATACAAGATCTTACGTGGACGCATTCCGATGCAAATATAAGGATGAAGAGAAAACAGCGCAATGAGTAAATGCACAGTTTCCCGTTCACCAGAGCTTGAAACTCAAGAGAGCTCATAGTCAAGCTAGCAATGCTGACATGTGTAAGTAGTGTTAATGGATTATTACTATCGGTGTAGTTGATTCATGTAGGTCGGAGAGTGTGGTAAACAGGTTCCAACAGATCTCGTACTCTATACGCCTACAGGTTTTATTAGCGGATGAAATGAAGAAATGATTGACGATCCTTGAATATCAAAAGACAGTTGAAAAGATGAAGATGTTTAGAGTAAAACAATCCTTTTTTGGAGATATTCCTCGCATTCTACTTCTTTTCAGGATAGAAATGACTTGTTGAATGCTATGGGGCTTATATAATGAACTGCGCTAGCTAGGCGATGTGTGTCAGTATTTTTGTCTCCTCTTCCTCACCCCCCCCTTCCCCACACCAGACAATTGTGATACCTAGTGAACTGACGCTGGTTTGATAGAAAGTTTGCATTTCCCCATGCGTGAGTCGATCCGGGCGCTTCACGCCCAAGCCACTTGTCGCTACACCATCTCTGCCCGTTTGGAATACACCATGGTTTCTGGGATACCAATTCCTGGGATCTATGATTGTAACGCTATTTCACCTTGGATGTAATTACTCGCTTCCCTTCAGAATGTGTTTGTTTGTTGTTATGGGTCTATGACTTATTTCGGATAAGAAGTGTTTGGAAATCAAGGAGGATGTCAGGTGCAGCTTGACGACGGGGGGGGGGCATTTTGCACTTTCGCTACTTCCCATCGACGTGTCGACCTATCTAGACAGCCTCTTCTCGAGTTGACAGGTTTTACCATGATGGCTAGATGAGCTTGCTCCAGCTTCACAAGAGTTCACAGGTTTCGCCAGAGTGAGACTTGTAAACCGGAACTAGGGAAGCAATGATAGTACAAAATGCTCCCCCCCCCCCCCGTCGTCAAACTACGCCGAGGATATCATAATAAGTAGAGACGATAAAAAGCTGTCACTGTCGCTAAGTCAGGAAACTCGAGATTTCACGAGCGGAGTGAATTTTCGGCACCATCCCTTTTCCTTTCAGGCACAAGCCGTACTATCTTCTCCAGCATGAGGGAATATCGCTGGTGTGCCAGTGAGCACGCCCACGCGCTTCACCCTCTCTCAATGACGGCCTTAGAGGCCATGTAGCTCAAAGGACTCTCATGCTCGGCAGGCATTTGATCGAAAACACGGCTGGAATAACTTGATGTGAAGAGCAGATTCCTTCCATGGATGACTGAGATTTCGGCTGGAGAAGCGCATGAAACATACTGAGTTTCTGCGAAAAATCCTAAAATGAACAACGGCAGTGAGCGTCTGGAGACATGCAAATCAACTAGGGAGGGGTGGGGGGAGGGAAATGGGGAAACTTTCTACATACCGTCCCGTTCTCGTTCACTTCGGGCGGAAAAAGTGGCACTGGTTGGCAGCTGCGGATCTATTCGCCTAGCACATGGTAAGGACGGTCCTCGGTGGTAGGTACTGAATTTGAATGGAACTATAGCTTTCCAGGTGCCCCTGCATCAGCGTTCCCCTCCACAACCTGTTGAGGGTTCGAACGGCAACCAAAGGTTGTTGGTGATTTTTCAGACCAATGTTCGTCAGCGCTACTCAATGTGCATGTGATTGAGGGACTTATGCTCGGTTGAACAGATCAGTCCAGGTATTCGAGCGAAGTTCATTTCTGTTCTGTGCTAACAAGATACGGGCCTACTAGCGGCACAGTCAAAGCGGCTGGGCACATCCATAGTCGACCATTGAATCGCACAAATTCCTTCTACCACGCGAGTCTTCGCCCTACCCCACTTCCTCATACCCTCGAGGGCAAGCACGGTGAAGGCAGCACGGTGGGGATCAACCATGTTCCCTTCTTGCTACCTACTAGTTCGATCCCATCTTTACTCTGAGAATCTTCAGAAAAATTTTCTCAGAACGTTTATGCTGTGCGATATATCTGTTCAGAGATCCTGCGCCCGTTCCAGCGCTGATTTACGACCTCAGGAAACCATGCCCGGCCTTCCTGAGCATTCGAGGTGTATCTCTCTGCCTACGACAAAATGTCTATGAATGATTTCTAAGTACATGAGTCTCTTACGCTCCAAGAAATGCTTCATTTTCAATATTAATAGTCAAAACTTTTAAGGTATGATTCACAAGCCCGTCGTACTAGTGGGCATCGTACTGATTGCTGCTGTTTTTCGACAGTTTCTCTTCAGATGAAAGGAAGAGCTGCTCTGGAAAAGGTACTTGAACACTTTGGCTCTTTTACAGCTCTTCCAAAATCCATTGCTGCCATATCACCGGAAGGGTTGAGTCAGTTGTGTTCTGCTGGGAACCTCCGTCCATTTCTTTCGTTCTTCAAGGCGCATTGTAAACAGTCCACGCTTTTTCATTGTTCAATTCTGCAACGATTCATGTAAAACGCGGTGCTCGAATCATCCAGATTTATTCCTTCATTGTATTTTCGAGAAACTGCGAATGCAATTATCCTAGCAAAAATCCATTGATAACCGTATAGCTAGCAATTCAAACATGTAATCTAAAAGAGATTCAAAGTTTTCTTCATTATAAAAGCGTATATTGGGTGCTCAAAGGGTGTGGGCCTAAACCCAGCCATCGGCGCCCCTTGAAGGAGAGGCAGCATGGAGAAATATTTTTCTCTGGGTATTATCATCCAGATACCACGAATGTACATTTAAGTCACTGAATTCCAGGCTCTTCCTGGGGTTGATCTTGAGGAACGCCTAGAGAGATTGAAAAAGCTCGGTGGACACAGAGAGAACGCAGAACTGGTAAAGGAGAAGATCAAGTTCTCTAATTCAACAGGAACGGAGGTGAGCCTAGTTTTCACTTTTGCTAAAAGTTTTGGTATAAGAATTAGACTAATGAGGCTTGAAAAAAGCGCTTGGTGAAATCGGTCATAGATAGGATTTCAAACTTGAGCGAGTTCCGTCCACACTGGAGATTCAGCTAATTGCACGAATGAGCTTCCTTCTGATGCCTCTGTAGTGACAGTATATCGAGACAGTGCGCAAACTTCTAAGGGAGCGAGGAAGCGTTGGATGGAGCTCCCTGCCAAAACGGGGATTACCTTCATGCAACTCACAAAAAAATCACTGATTTGTTTGATTGCTATGCTACCAAAACTCCGTCTAATTACCATAGAATGTTGGGTGGAGGTGGCATAGTGGCAAGTGATTCGCCTACCACATACACAGTCCAAAGGGCGAATTCTACACTGACTTCCATCCCGGACCAATCTGGCCTTCCACTCCTCGGGGTCGACAGATTGATAATAGACTCGTATGGGAGCATAAACCAGTGGCCTGAACATCAGCTAACTCCGCATATCATTATATGGGCCTTACCGCTTTCAAAGCGCCCTACGATTCTGAGATAGCGGTAACGTAATGGATAGCGAAGAGAGATCGCTTAGTTTCCCAGAAACAAATAAAATTTCATCGCATCCCGGCAACGGAGAGGGGGGCATTATGCACTTTCCTGCTTCGTATTGTTGTGCTCGTTGCTGTACAAGGATGAGAGTAATCTTATTAAGACAATAGGTGGTTTCCCCAAACTTGACTGGCGTCACTCCGAGCTTCACCAACCTCAGCAGAACGCTCCTCTACCTGACGCGCCTCGAGCCAGACAATTGAAGCACAAGGTGCTAAAGTGCCTTCCAATTTTTGCTGTGAACTGCGATAGTTGATTATTCGTGTGTAGTTCTTGCCTTCCTCTAGGAGGCTGGGCGCGATAACTTTTGTTTGAATGGGCCTAAGGTTTCGACCCGTTTCGTCGTGTCTTCCGAGGCCTAAAATTGGTTCAAAGTTCCGATTCATGGTCTAATCCACCAAGCACCTCACCTTCTCTAGCGGTTTCGACGTTCTGTCGGGAACCTCGAAGAGAAGTCCAAGCAGTCCAGAGAACAAACTCGAAAGAACTGCGATAGTGTTTTCATGAAACGTGACGGTGTGATTCGGTAATCATCTATTCAAGAGACCCTTCCTATTTAGGATTAACGGCGCTAAATGAAGAGACAGGCAAAGAAAGGATAGAACAATCTATCGTTGAAGTGACATCAGAGAGAAGGCAGTTGATGAATTATCGTTTGAAGGTGACATCCTTCTCACTAAGTAAGTTTCCGCCTTCAAATGCTCCTTATCCTAATTTGAAAGGTTCGCGATGTAAGCGAAGCATGAATCTTTCTTCGAGATTGCATCAGTGTCTCAGAGGAGTTTTCATGTTAAAATGTCACTGGGATTCCAAATACGTCCCGATCCTCGAATGGAATTTCCACTATCAACTCTAAGGAACTCAAAGACTGTTTGAGAGCATCATAAAAGATTTGCGCTCCCGCAACAGTGGCCAGACAACAGATAGTTAGAAGTGATTCACTTCTGCTGGTAATTTGTCGCAATATACATAAAAGCCCACACTTTCGAACCGTCACACGACTGCTTAGTTATTGGCATAAGCCATGACTCCAGGCGGCACTTGAAAACGCCTCACGCTTACGAGACGAGTGCGGTATCGCGAAGAACATCTAAGAAGGCCCACGGCTCAGCATTCTTGTGATGAATTTCGGGGTACGAGCTACTGCTTCAAAGAGCAGTTATAATATCAAGAAGCACTTCTACATGACCTATCCATGCCCGAAAATTGTTTGACTCTTCTGCTCCCAGCTTAAAGGCAGTTGGCACGATAAATCCCCAAGGAAGAATTCCGCGACCCTGGGCAGGCGCTGCATAGCGGTTTCCCCGAGGAAGGTGCCCTTATAAGGGCCCTATCAAGCCACAACTTTACGTCCCAAACGCCCGCCCCGCCCGCCCACAAATGGACGACCGTTCCTGACGCTCGTATTCATTCATTTGCTAAGCAAATTATGAAGCGAAGGGATTGGTATGAAGCGGCCGTGATGCTGCATGCATACATGGGTACACATATGCAGCCGTATCTTCGGTAGCGGTGATTGGTAAGATGCCTACGGGAAACTCGTCCGAAATCGATTTACAAGAACGGAGGCTTTTTCTTCGCAGGATTTTGACCGTTTCACTCCGTTCTTTCGCCATTTCCCCACTATACAGCGCCCTACTAGCATTTTAGGCTAAGTAGGAAACCATCGTGCCAACTGCCTTTAATCAAGGGAAGAGACGTCATAATTGCTTAGAATTGTAGCAAAGAACTGAGTGTAATCGAGAACACCACGAAAAGCAGTACTCGACAGAAGCGCCAGATCCCTTATGAGGGCGTTTCTAAATGGGAGAACAACAGAGTTTTCTACTATTTCGACGCAAGTATACGTAAGTTTCTATGGAATAGATTGCTGTAACTATTTCACAGTCCACATGGCAACTTTTTAGCAGCAGCTAACCAAGCTTACATCAGAACGATCTTGAATTACCTCCAAGCTCGTACATGTATTACTTTCGTGGATGATGCCACAGCAACAAATCGTATAAGAGTGTTTGACGGTGCCGGCTGCTATTCAGCACTTGGAATGCAAGGAGGCGAGCAGTCCTTATCATTGTCGCCTGACTGTGTAGTAGTAAGTTTTTGAATGACAACTGCATCGTGTAATATCAGAACAAACGTTATTCGCCTCAAGAGCAGGGCACGCCATCGCGCTTTGATCATTTCCTGAAAAATACGACCCCCCCCTAATTCCATCCCAAATACGACCCCACCTCCCTATGCCACCTACCACTTTCCTATATTTTCCCAACTTCCTACCACTTTTTCCATTTTTTCCCTGAAGATTTTTGTTTTTTTCCCACATTTGTGTCGAGCCGGGTTTGCTGTCGAGCCGGGGGGGGGAGGAGGTCGGCAGAATTTAACTACATTTTCAACTATCGGAAATAGTAGTTGTATGGATCAAAATCAACTATAAATTTTTCTCAAACCACTTACGATCCCCCTTCCTCGAAGTCAAATACGACCCCTCCGTTGTGATCATCACAACGATGGCGTGCCGCCTGCTCAGAAGGGAGCAGTCTGCAATTTTGCGACGGTTTCATAGTAGCCTGCAAAAAGACTCACCTCTCGCCTCTCAGTTTTCACACCAATCTTTCAAGAACCTTTCCATCGGGAAAAGTCAAGTTAACAATCAAAAAGCTGCCCCATTTGTGGCATTCTTCATAAAGAAGTAACCGTGCTGCTAACATTACACGCCAATGTGGGTGAACCCAACGGTATACCGCGAGACGGTATGTCACGGCGTGGTGAACTTGACACCAATGAGAACGGTAAATGTTGCGTTCAGTAAGTGCTAGAACCAGATGGGGTGCAGTTTGACGACAAGGGGGGAGGGCATTTTGCACTTTCGCTGCTTCTCATCGACGTGTCGACCTATCTAGTTGACAGGTTTTACCATGATGGCTAGATGAGCAGCTCCAGCTTCACAAGAGTTCACAGGTTTCGCCAGAGTGAGACTTGTAAACCGGAACTAGGGAAGCAATGATAGTACGAAATGCCCCCCCCCCGTCGTCAAACTGCGCCACCAGATCGTGATTGAACCCTGTTACTTCCTAAAAAATTGCCTGTGCTTATCTAAAAAGCGCCTGCTTTTATAGGTGGGTACTGTGGCGCATACGTTTATGCACGCTCTCGGCATTCTACATATGCATGTGCGCGACGACAGAGACGAATATCTCATAGTTGATCTGACAAATGTGCCGGTAAGATTTCTCCTACTGACGCCTTATTTCTAGGCTGCTAAATTCACTATCTAGTCAGGTGCAAGAGTACATTACGCTCACTTCTTTACCTCAGTAAATTTCTGCACCGAAAAATTCTACAAATGAGTGTAGTCGTCAATTGAAAGACTTAATTTAGCTATTAGTGTGGGCATGGATGGACTAACGTTGTCTTTCTACTTAGAACTCCACTTTTCACAGCCTTAGAAGGTAGGACGTCTCAATAGTTAAGTGACAATGGTGTGTCTAGCTCCGCCCAAACGGAGGTCGTGGATTGCACCCGACCGCTATCGTTATC